AGCGTGCTACAATCCCTACTTCGAAATCCACGCGAACGGGGATGGATGTGGATGGCGATAGCCGAGTGCCACGTTCTGCCAGGGGCCTAGGCAACGGCGCTATTCGTTTGCGCCACTATCATTTTTGGACGTTCTCTACCGCTGTGTACGAGTTTCGTGCGAGACCTTGGCATCGGCACAACTGCCGCACATTTAGGATAGCGCGAGTACGGAGTTTCGCGCTATCCTCAATGTGCAGACCTATGCTGCGGACTCATTCGTCTCGCACATTGCAAGTTCATCCTCAGAGGTGAATGTGCAGCTTGGTTCCAGTCTCTTTTCCACTTGAGCTGCACTCTTCTTCTGTATCTGGAGCAGTAGTCCTTTTTCTGCACTTGTCGCTATGGCCGCTTGTGCGGCTATTAAAATTGGATGCCCTGTTATATTTTTTGAGCTTTCAGTTCCATCATCAAAATCAGCAAGGAGGGAGGATGGAAAAAATGCACGTTCGTGTTTCGGCAGCAGGGAATTATTTAATATTTATTTGAAGACAAATTCAGACTACAGGTACTCAGATCTGGGAGTAGTTGGTTTCGGTTCGATGGGACATCAACATCAAATTCTTCTGAGAACCGACCATAGTGCAGTCTGGTTCGCTGCGGATTATGGGGCGTGCCAGTGCCACAGCGTTTGGCACGGTGCCAAACAGTGCTGGGAAACGGGTCTGACAAAGTGCCAAACGCAGCGGCACAGACACGCCTTATAATCCGCTGCGAATCAAATTGTGGGGGAGGGGCGCTTCCGATGACACTTGGAATATTGTATTACATAGTGCTGTCGTTTTCACGTACCTGCAAGTAGAACACTGATGGCCATCCAAGCGATGTTTCGCATAATGCACCCGACACTGGCATCGTAAAAATGGAGCAGAACTGCAAAATTCTTCAAATGATTTTTCTTTTAGTTATTTGTCACATTTTAAATCCATAAAGACGTTGTCCTTAGCCTTACTTGCACATGACATGACAGCACAGCAATGAAAGTTCCAGCTGATTTAGTTGTTGACCATTGTGAAGCGATAAGACCTGTCACTGGATAAGATAGTGACGTGCCAATGCCCTGAAGGGCACAAAAGTGAAATTTAGTTGGTGCGCTCCTGTGTGGTAACCATAAACAAAGAATGGCCAACTTCAGTATATAATCGCCACGGTACCGGTATTCAGTGGCAGCCCCAATTGATTGTAATTACGAGAGGCTTAACAAGCCGGAGTATTTAAGCTAGTACCACTAGAGAATATGACTGCAAGCATTGCACATAATGCATTGTTCAGGATGACTGGAATCTATCGGCGCACCAATTCCTTGAGACTTTCATTTCGTCTACGACATACGAGAGTTCTATAACTTTTGACGTATGCACGCGCTACGTCATTTAACTACTACACAGACTATCCGATTTTTATTCATAGCGCATTTGCAACTGAGAATAATTACGTGAATTAATGAGCGCGGGCATAAACCTACCCTCACTCGGCAGCTATCATACTATAATCTACCTCTAATAAAGAATTTCTGGTAAACTTTGCTCGTATGTAGGCTAATCGATTGTACCTGAATCATAGAGTACGACTATAACTTTTGACGAGTGCATTTATAACCTTGACAGGCTTATATGTATTATTTCAGCACAGAATTCTCGTAGCTGGTGACTGGGTAATAAGGGGGTGTTTAACGTAGGCTCGTGCGGAATTACAGATGGCGCCAGCGGGTTACGGTACTCTGTGTACGGGTAATAACTGAAGGATAGCCTACTTATGTTGTTTCCAAATGTTTAATTCAGCTTCTTTTGATGTGTTTGCGCAGGCCTGTTCGACTTATGTACATGACACCCGGCGATTACTTTGCGTATCTCCGGTATTAAGTTTCCTAAAAAAGACACCAAGAACGAAAGTCTTAAGTATGGAGGACATACATACATGGGTAGAAATAGACGCTGCCGAAATGGACTTCTTTGAGCTGGCAGGACACCGGCGTTGGGTGAAGACAGCGTGGCGCCGCACACCCGAGCCGCATACAAACGTTCCGCGTCATGCAAGGAACAGAAGGACTAACAGTGTTTTGGATGGATAAGGGTGGTCCACCCACACGCAAACAGTTCGGAGGTGAAATCTACGATATTTTTCATCATAGCCAACCATGTCTTCAATTTTTCGTGCAAGATACGATTTAGAAAGGGCGATGCGGTGTATAGCAAGTAGCACGCTCCACAACTAGCGCGTTCCCGTCTATACCGAATCATGGATTGGCTCCCGCTCAGAGCATGCTTCCATCCTCTGGGGTCTGCCGAGAACCGTAAATTGGTACCATATTCATCCGTGAGGATAAAAATGCTGACTGTCTCTACGCCCAAATCATTGTGCGCCCACATAGCATTCCAAATGCCGCCTTGATTCTGAGTCGGTAAGCTGAAAATGCATGCCACATTCCGAAAGGATCTCGATCAACGGCGAAAATTTTATCCGTCTTTCATTGATGCGATCCTGTCCTGTTCGAGGGGACCCAGCATGGCCAAAAAAATTCGAGGCAAGCGCTTCAGGGAATTTTATGAGGAGCAGACCTCATGTTCACTTCCAAGGAATGTGGAATGGAAACATCGAGCCATGGATCTCTCCTGCCTCAAAGGATTACATAAAATCTTTGTAATCCACCTCATCTCGCGACGGGCGCCTTCCTACTCAGGGGATTTCTCCTCCTCATAAAATAATATAAACCGAAATTTTAAATGAAGCACATTTGAATAGTTGATATTCGTACGCTGCAGAACCCTCATGACAAACACAGTACAGAAAAAGTGCAACGGCAAAGAGAGAGCACTAAGCGTTGAGGAAGTAGACAGAACTTTCCGAACAGTTGTACATTGTACCCCTGAAGGCTTATTGATAAGAACGCGTAAAAAAAAGTTTAGGTTGTTTTAAGCGACTTTTGAAACTACAGATATTAGCACAGGGGGAAAGAGGAGCATGTGATCGACGCAATGGAAGCGAGCAGAAGACGTGCACACAGAGAGATATTCGCCCCCGTGCCCAGCCTTTGTTCCAAGAGTCATATGATTTTAACAAGAGAAAGCGGCACGCTGCTACAGATACTGGAAACTAATATTACCTGATACATTGCATTGAACGCAGACGGGAGGGAGACGAGATACACTACATTACTCCCCATACGCCTACTCGATGTATCAGATACGGTCCTGGTATTGTACCGATCAAACAGCCAATGGCAATTGCTGAGAACAGCGCATTGGTATGCCCACTGGACTCGAGCCAATGCGGTGTTGCTGAAAGTGTTGCCTTATGGTTAGAAAAGCATCTGAAAGATAAACAGGGTACTGGCCTCTTTTAGGATTCGGGACGCATTCCACTTCCATTCGGAACAGTAGTGACTCACTGACTACGATTTGGCCTACGCAGTGACTTGCGGGGTGCAGCCGATGTGCATGTGAGTGTTCCTATCCTCTAGGTGAATCTGGTGGTAGGCTCCCGGAAGGCAGAAGATTTGGCTAGCTTGGGCGGAAGCCCGATCCGGAAATTGAACCCAGGACCGTGCACGTGGTCAATGTGCCACTTGCCACTACGCCACCCTCACCTCAGATAAGTGGTTAACACGTTGACGACGATGGCAGACAATGGTGTCTGCCACTATATTGGTCCAATAATAAGGATGTACGAACAGCTGAGTTCGCTGGAAACTTATCCCTAGGGGTAGCTTGTCCCTCTGGAACGAATACCACAGTCGCTTGGCACGAACTGCCTGGCGCCCGCGCCACAGGCGCCGGCGCCAAAATACCATAAATCACCAAATTCGCTGAAAACTTGTTTCCTAGGGCAGCTTGTCAACACGAATATCACAACCGCTTGCTATGAAACTGCCTGGCGTCCACGCCACGGGCGCCGGCGCCAAAATGTCCTAGGTCATCAAATTCGCTGAAAACATGTCTCTTAGGCTAGTTCGACCCCCTGAACAAGAATATCATATCCACTTAACGGTTGAGGACGATTTCCATCAATGCTGGACGACAGCCAGTTTGTTCCGTGGGACGGCGTCACCCAATCGTGTCCGACAGTTATTATACAACTCAAAATCGGAGATAGTTTCATTTTCTTTCCAAGAAATTAGCTGAAATCAGAAAGACAAACATTTTTAGGCCAAAGGAATGCTATATTAATCTTTACGAGGCCAAACTACCTCGAAAAACAAATTTTCAGTCAAAGCTACCTTCAGTGGAAGAAGTTGGTCAAAAATGGCTTTGAAGTTTTGGAGCAGTAAAAACTAAAATTTGTCAAAAATTCGAGATCCACATACTCGTATCTTCCATTTCTTGATGCACTTTGATCGTAGTAATTCATTTATTTGGAAATTACTAAGTTTCAATGTAGAAAAATGTGCCGTCCCACGCGCAAGTCATGGGAAAAATGGCTCGTCGTCAACGTGTTAAATGAGAGAATTGTGCTACAGAAAACTTTAGCAAACAATTTTCGTATTCGATCTCTGGATTTTAGTTCGGTTCTCCGTAGTGGAGGCAATGGCATAGGTTTTGTGAATAGGACCGAGTTCATCGGTCAAGATGATTTCAGTTACTACGAGTTAGAATAGAACTGGAATCAGGTTATTACAAAAGCTTTTACTGGAAAGGTCACTTGAAAATATACAGGGGTTAAAAACACCAAATTGACTGATGCTTACTCATTCAATCGAAGGGAAACCAACCAAAGAGGTCATATGTTACCCAGCTGGAAACCCTTGGAGGTACGGTTCGCCATAATAGGCAGCGATGTTGAAATATGGAACAGAACTTGTCAATTGACTCGTATATGACAAGAAAATACCAAAAGGAACGTCGGCAAAGCCTTTAATTAGGCCCCCTTCATCCTAAAACAATCGCGGATGTAAGGCCAAAGAACTGCGCATTGGAACGAGCGCAGTCGCCTTATTCCTTATAGTAAACACTATGACCCTACAAGATACAGTGGAACATCCATCTTATGCCGCTTAGCCGGTAACATCCCTTCTAGCTGAGTTTGGGGGCGGGGTCCGGAGGCGGAGTCACTAGAAAAAGGGAAGTATTACTGGAGCAACTTTAGACTTTGAATTCATTTCCTTGCAATTTTCGGCCGCAAAACTGGTACAAGGTGGTCCATCACGAACCACACTACCCCTCCACACAATCTTTTGCATTTTTATCGTTCATCGCCGATCGTTTCTTTGAAAGGCACGCTGAAGGGAATATCTAGCTAGAAATTCATTTTTTAGAAAACTGTCGCTAACACTTTTAACTTCAGCGAAATCATCGTGAATTCGGCATTTTGGCGTCCTCTTCGAGAGTTCAACAAAAGTTCGACCGCATTATCACGCATATTTTCGCGGCTAGGCGGATTATTTATGAAGTTTGCTCATTTTCTCACTTTGTTTTTGCTTCACAGGTTTTGGTCCTCCTGAACCAGGGAACAAAATGTGCACTCCACATTTAAGGCAGGTGGCACGATTAATCCCCAGGACGGGTAGGATTGATCCGCCTGGCAGTACGGAGTTCCGCGCCCTCGAGCAGGTGCTGCATTATGCTTTTTCTGAGGAAGGTACACTTATAAGGTCCCATCAAGCTACAACATACCCACACGAACGCCCACCGCGTCTGCCCGCCCACAAATGGACGACCGTACCTGACGTTCGTATTGCTTCATTTGCGAAGTAAAATATGGAGCGAAGGGGCTGATAGGAAGCGGTCGCGGTGCTGCCTACCCTTCGAAATGGTATGACGTTCAGAATGTCCTCGAGCGCGCAGAAGTCAATGGGAAACTCTAGCGCGCTAAGGGGACGAGTGAATATTTTATTGACACCCGCTCGAGCAATTCAATGATCAACAGAAGTATAGGCGACAAGAGATCGCGTGCCTAGAACGAGTTAAAACCACTAGGAATGTCGCATGCTGTGTGTTTGTACTACCGTTGGAGTTTACCCGGTCGCGAAACCAGTGCCCAGGTCCCCAAGTCAAAGTCAAAGAGACCATTTGTGATGGGACATTCATCACTGAAAAGGATTCCTAATGCTGATTTTGCGTACGTGTTGCACGAACTTTAAATTGAGTGAAATTGACCTGTCACAGATTATCACCACTCTTAAAGCCGCCTTCGAGAAGTGCTCAATAAAGCGCCACCGCGCTTCAGACGAGGCAATGAATAGCACTGCTCCTATAGCTGAGATCCACCTTTACCTTTCTGTATATATATATATATATATATATATATATATATATATATATATATATATATATATATATATATATATATATATATATATATATATATATATATATATATATATATATATATATATATATATATATATATATATATATATATATATATATATATATATATATATATAATATATATATATATATATATATATATATATATATATATATATATATATATATATATATATATATATATATATATATATATATATATATATATATATATATATATATATATATATATATATATATATATATATATATATATATATATATATATATATATATATATATATATATATATATA